AGATGGACTGACATCGTGGCTGCAGCGATGGTCGTGAGGATGGGCAGGGCAGTGGTCTTGTTCCGTGGTCCGCAGGGCTGCTACGAGGCAGAAGCCACTCGAGCGTGCCTACCGGTAACAGTACTTACTTCTCATTACGGAGTTTAGTCCTATGTCAATGTGACCTTTGCAGCTGGCTGTATGGAATTTCTATCTATTTGCATTTATTTTGTGACATAGGAATCAATCATTTATGAGAGTCATAAAAGTTTTTAAGGAGTCTATTATTTTCTTCAAATCTTGTGTAATTTGAAAACATTTTTCTTGGTATGCTTGCTTTTATCATAACCCCCAAAAAAACCAAAATGACTGTCATTGAGTCACGTCTGATTCATAGCCACCTTAAACCCTATATAGGGTTTCTGAGGCTTTGTAAATCTGGACGGAAGCAGACAGCCTCAACCCTCTCCTGTGGAGCAGCTGGTGGGTTTAAACCACTCACCTTACTGTGAGCAGCCGTGGACTCTCGAGGCAGCACCACCAGGCCCCTCTCTTATAACCATGGTGGAGAGCTGGATCTGCCAAAGTTACGTTTCTATCCACTCCCTGTTCATTTCACTTATGAGAAGGTCAGCAGATCTGAGCCCCCGCGCCACCCCTGGACACAAGACAGGGCGGTCTGCTTTCAAAACGAGTGACCTCCTGGAAAGCCTCCGGGCCGATCCTCCTGTCAAACATGGCAACAGGATGGTTCATGGGCCTTAGGAGTTGTTTTCATGACTCATTGTACTTTTATACTTCCCCATAGTGATCCTGCAATAAATTAAAAAATTCACTTTTTTGGCTTTAACTTGAGCTTTTAGCCATTTTATATCTATGTAGTGGGAGGTAAAGGCGCCCTGGTAACAGTTTACATATGAGGCTTCTAACCACAGATCAGCGGTTCAAACCCACCAGCAGCGCTCCGTTTACAGCACTGGGGCTCTACTTTGTTCTACAGGGTCATCACATGGCAACAGGTTTGATTTGGTTTTGGAGTGGGAGGTGTGTGCTCCAAAGCTTATATTCTTTTCATTTGGTTTATTTAAAGCTGGCTTGGGGGCATACACGAGACTATTTCATCTAGGGTAAAACCGAAAAGTCATGGGTTTCTATTGAGACCGAACTGCATTCATCACCCCCACCCCACGTTTCCATGACCTCAGTAGAAGTTGCTCTACCGTCTCACTGGCTCTCACGCTGAGGCAGACTGTGCCGATACTGCTGCCCTCTTCTGTTCCCAGGCAACGAAAAGGGCTGTGCTCAGTGACCTGGAAGACTTCCCAGTGTTGGGCGAGTGGTATTTGATGGGGAAGGCTACCCTTGTTAAGTCAGGATGGCCACGCTAGAGTGACTGAAGGCAAGATGGTATTTCAATCTGCAACAGTTTGCAGCAGGAGCTCTGGTCGTGCAAGGGTTAATAACTTGATGACTAACTGCAAGGTTTGTAGCTCGAAATCATCCAGTGGTGCTGTGGCCAGGAGAAAGAAGTGACCCTTTCCTCCCGTGCAGTTGACAGACAGCCTAGGAAATCCTAAGGGGCAGTTCTTTACTCTGCACATGGGCTCGCTGCCCTTGAGAGCTTTCTGGGGAAAATCCACTACAAAGTCAGGGTGCCCTTCCCAGCACTGCCGAGATGATTTTCACGGACGGACTCCACGCCCCTAAGTAGAAATGCCCTTTGGCGTTTCCTGGGCTGTACTCTGAGTCGCAATCAACGGGATGACAGCGAGATTTTGGGCGTGGGGAACCTCTCTGGGATCAGTCTCTCTCCCAGGGAGTTGCTGGGTGGGCTTTCACTCACCAACCACTTGTGCCACTAAGACTGCTTTTCAAACACCACGATTTTTACCAAGCTCTGGTTCAAACTCTTCTACTATAAAGTGCTTTTAACCAAGCACACACACTATTGACAAAGCTTGCATGAAACCACCTCGCCCGAAGTGTTCAAACACCTGTCATTTTTACATTTCATAGGACACAGAGATTCAAGATTCAGGTATATACGCCTTATCATAAATAATCTCTTAAAAGTTTACTTCTAAACAGACAGGGATCGTGATGAAACCCCTAGTCAGTAAGATACTGTTAGATCCAGCCATTGGGAATAGCAGGCACTCCTACACAGCAACTGGGCAATACTGAATCACAACCTCCCACATGCTAACAATAAGCACATAAAAATAGATCTCACAAACTATACCACTTCTAACACTACCACTGGATTTAAAAAAAGCATTTTATCGGGGGCTCGTACAACTCTTATCACAATCCATACATCCATCCATTGTGTCAAGCACCTTTGTACATTTGTTGCCCTCAGCATTCTCAAAACATTTGCTTTCTACTTGAGCCCTTGGTATCAGCTCATTTCCCCCCCTTCTTCCCTGGGCCCCCTACCCCTCCCTCATGAACCTTTGATAATTTATAAATTATTATTATTTCATTATGTCTTACACTATCCAATGTCTCCCTTCATTCACTTTTCTGTTGTAGGTCCCCCAGGGATGGGGTTATATGTAGAGATCCTTGTAAACGGTTTCCCCTTTCTATCCCACCTTCCCTCCACCCTCCAGGTAACGTCACTCTCACCACTGGTCCTGAGGGGTTCATCTGTCCTGGATTCCCTGTGTTTCCAGTTCCTATCTGTACCAGTGCACATCCTCTGGTAGAGCCAGATTTGTAAGGTTGAATTGGGATCATGATAGTGGGGTGGGGGGGGAAGCATTAAAGAACTAGAGGAAAGTTGTATGTTTCATCGTTGCTACACTGCACCCCGACTGGCTTGTCTCCTCCCCATGACCCTTCTATAAGGGATGTCCAGTTGCCTACAGATGGGCTTTGGGTCACCATTCTGCACTGCCCCTCATTCACAATGATAGGATCTTTTTGTTCTTTGATACCTGATACCTGATCCCTTCAACACCTCGTGATCACACAGGCTGGTGTGCTTCTTCCATGTGGGCTTTGTTGCTTCTCAACTAGATGGCCGCTTGTTTATCTTCAAGCCTTTAAACCCCAGACACTATCTTTTGATAGCTGGGCACCATCAGCTTTCTTCACCACATTTGCTTATGCACCCGCTTTGTCTTCAGCGATCATGTCGGGAAGGTGAGCATCAAGGAATGTTAGTTTAATAGAAGAAAGTGTTCTTGCACTGAAGGAGTACTGGAGTAGAGGCCCAATGTCCATCTGCTACCTTAATACTAAACTTACAAATATATGCACATAGATCTATTTCCCCATCATATATATTTACGTATGTACATGCCTGTATTTAGAGCTCTATAAATGTCCTTTGCCTCCCAGTTCTTTCCTCTATTTCCTTTTACTTTCCTCTTGTCCCACTATCATGTTCAGCCTTCATTTGGGTTTCAGTAATTCCTCTCGGTTACATTGCCCTTGATTAAGCCCTACTAGGTCTCTTACCTCCTCCTTGCCACCGATTTTGGATCACTTGTTGTTCCCTTGTCCCTGGGCTTGTTAACACCACTTCCTTTCCCCTGTCTCCCCACTACCACTGCATTTTATGATGCCAATCTTCAAAGTTCTCCAAAATAAGAGTCTGGAGTGGAATTCAGTTTCTCTGGGGTTAAGGAATCTTCACATCCAGCTTTTGTTAGGAGAAACAGGAATGCTTTGCTCCCTAGCTGTAGTCAGTAAGATAAATGATCGATGGTACTCTAGAATCCCAGACTTATGTCTCCAGAAGAAACAAACAAAATTACAATCCAGAGTTTAAAAAGTCCAAGGTTAGTGCATTATATTTGGAGTTGAATAAGACCGATATTATAATTCAGAGCACTGAATTACAGTAAACCTGCAAACAGAAGCCGCGGAGACGGTATGAGCGTGGTGTGTAACCAGTTAATTCATGGCATTTTCTGCAATTCCTCAACCCGGCTTCCAGACATCACCGCAAGGCTCAAACATTCTAGAGTTTCTGATAGCTGGGTATCTGATAAGAGTTATTTTCAAATAAAATGAATCTTCTTGATTCATTTATGTCAGGGGTCCTCAAACTACTGCCTGCGGGCCACATGCAGCCCGCCGAGGACATTTACCTGGTCCGCCGGGTGTTTTTGCCCCATTTTATTTTTTACTTCAAAATAAGGTATGTGCAGTGTGCATAGGAATTTGTTCATAGCTTTTTTTTTCAAACTATAGTCCGGCCCTCCAATGGGTCTGAGGGACAGTGAACTGGTCCCCTGTTTAAAAAGTTTGAGGACCCCTGATTTAGGTGATTGGGGCCTTGCTGAACTCAGTGTAAATTGTAGGGAAGGGCTACCAAGTACGATGCATACTCTTACAATAATACTCCAATTCACACCTAGGAAGTAACCAAGAAAAAATAAGAAATCACAAGGGGCCAATATTCTTGTGTTGAAAGAAATATAGGATTTCTTGTAAACGTAAATTCTTCAATCAAAAAGCCCAAGAAGTCTATATATCATTATGTTGGCCTTCCTTACGCTGCAGTGAGAAAGAGCTGGCTGTGGCTGTCATGACTGGCTCTGATGACCCCATCAGCTCTTTGTAAAATCAAGTCTGATTAGCAATCAGGAATTAAAAACAACAATAAAATTATTATTTTGATGGTGTTAAAGGAAGAGATACCAAGATCTCTCTAGGAAGTGATATAATGCCAACTTCCTAACGAGGGGTTGACGAAAGAAGACCCAAGGAAATCCATCACACTTCCGTTTCAAAGGCACGTCCCCAGGTTGTCAACAAAATACTAGCCATCAAATTCACCACTCTTTACTTGACTCAACACTTTAGCAATTATTAAGTGCATTTCAGTCTTGAAAATTAAAGAACGGTGTAGCTGCATCTCATATTTATTTTAATATAGGAAAATGAGGGAGATTAGATTATCCCATGCCTGAGGCTAGCAGACGTAAGTATAAAATCTTGACACCCATCCACCTACACCAAGCCTCCTCAGTGAGCTCAAACAACCATTGAATAATTCCTCTGACCTGCAGAACGAGAACGAAGTAGTCTACAGGTTTGTTTCGCTGGTAGAGGTAGTGCTCGGGGGCTTTCTTGCTCTTCTCGTCATACTTCAGTTCCTGGATGACATTGGGGTGCTTTAGCAGCCTTAGAAGGATCTTCTCTGACATCTGGGATGGGCTAAACGCTTCTACTTCTATAGATATAAACACAACTTGATATTACACTTCAAATGGACGGAAAAAAGGAAACTAGTAATTAAGGTCTTTAGATAGAAAGAATATTTGGAATCAAAATGATACAATATAGATTAGCGAGACTTCCATTTGGTGATCCACTGTGGGGCAGATTACCTGAGAGAAATTTTTGTTTCATTTCAACCTGTCATTAATTGCAGTACTTATAAAAGTGCCCTAATTTTCTGACTCAGAGAAAGGAAAATCAACCAGAAGCACTCGTTGACTGCCAGGATGCCCTTGAACAAGCCACCACAGTCTGACTGCCCGAGACAGCCCAGGAAGAAGCAAGGGCCAGGAAGCAGCAAGCTGTGGGTTAGTATCGGGTGCACAGACACAGGGGCTCCACGTCTCAGTCTCCCATTGCAACTATGCTGAGACTCTGGGGACAAAGGAAGGCAGAGTTGAGAACAGAAGCAAAGCAACGTGCTCATTGGGAAAAAAACAAGAAAAAAAGAATGTTGGTCCATATTTACAAAGGTGTTGCGCTTTTATTTGAAATGATAAAAACCAGAAGGA